TGTCTGATCCACTTTTTAGGCAGACCTGTGAAAACACTGTTGCAGTAATCAATTCAACTAAAAATAAACACATGGAGATTTTCCAGATCACGCTGAGACATTAGTCCTTTAATCCTGGAAATGTCTGAATAGTGCTGGCAGAAATAAAGGAGTGGGAGTAAGAAGGAGGATTCTTCCTATCATCAATTTAGCACATGAAACTCTCAGCTATTATGAGCTCTACAGGTTCCCATAATCCTTTGTGTGACAGGATGTACAGGCACAGTCCACCTCGTTGAGTTGAACAAAAATATATTACTTCTTTACACTGTAACTTATGCTAATGTCCTTACCTTCATATTGGGTTTAATAATAGGGAGCTTCAGCCGTTCTCTATGTTTGTGCAACTTTTGGTTTTTGTAGTTCTTTTGCGTCTGTTGTGTAATAACGTCTGTAAGGCGGACAGTCGTCCTTTCCTACCCTGGATAGAGTTCTAACTGTTGACCTTGCGAAAGGTGAAGGGTGGGAGCTACAATGTGAGGTATTCCAAATCAGCCGTAGATTATGATTACAACTCAGAGGTGGGTAATAACTAGTTACATTTACTTGAGTAACTTTAAAAAAATGTACTTTTAGGAGTATTTTTACAGCATTGTACTTTTTGTTGAGTAAAAATATAATAAAATATTACTACTTTTACTTGAGTAAAACTTCTTATCTTTGTACTCAAAGCTTATTGGTTCATCTGCTATGTCTGCTGTGTCATTTGGAGATTAAGCAAAAATACGGTAAACAGTTTACTGTTAACTTAACCTATTGGTGCATTTAGAGAAAGAAATTAGCCTAGCAGTTTGTTTTTTTGATGGACTGTTGGAGGAAGCCGGAGTACCTGGAGAGAACCCACGCATGCTCAGGGAGAACATGCAAGACCCCAGGCCGGGAATCGAACCCAGAACCTTCTTGCTGCAAGGCAGCATTGCTACCCACTTCACCCACTGAGCAGCATTTTGTAAGTATTATAAGTCATAAAATATTGATCATGATCATGGGTAGTAAACAGATCATTTACTCAGTACTGCAGTAGCCTTTTTATCAAATATTTATTTTTACTTCCTTAATGGATACATTTTACTTTTTCTTGAGTAAATATATGATGAATTATTACTACACTACCCACCTCTGTTGAAATCTAATTTGGATCGGTACTCAGTATGGGCTAAGATGACTGTACTTGTATTCATACTCCTGTTGTTTTTCTTTCTCAATTCTTCCACGTAGTAAAACACAGATGGCAACAGATAGAAATCAGTCATGCACTGGTTTCATCACCATGTTTCTTCAGGACTTATCAGCAGTACAATAGATTCAATTGGCTCTTTTTAGGAGTTTACCAATGCTTCTTCAAAGGGGTACAGACTCCCAAGATTTCAGATGACTGACTTTCCTTATTTGGAACAAGTTTAAGGCATAAGAAATGTATTTATGTGAAATTTAAGAACCACAACATGTTTAAGAGATAAAATAAGCCTTAAGGACTTGTGGAGTTTATCCTTATGTCCATTATTACGCAATGATTGGAGGGACACTCGTATGTCGACATTCATCCATTGTATCTCCTGGCAACCACAGCTGTAATTTCTGATTCAAGGTAATTAAATCCTTTCCTCAGAGCAGTTGTAGCATATTTACCTTGGTGCTGCACAGGAGCAGAGTTACACCCAGTAACTACGGTGACCTCCTAGAAAACATGCCTGTAAGCTACAAAGTGAGGAGATTAAGTTACACTTTCAAATCAAAATTTTTCTAGTTTTTTTGTCTGGATATATATATATATATATATATATATATATATATATATATATATATATATATATATATATATATATATATATTTATATATATTTTAAACGTGTTCCCATCTACTGCAAAACACCCGTAACTATAGCATTTAACAATGGAAACAGATGTTTTTAAAACCCTCAGTTTACACTAAGGAGTTAGATCTTTGTTGGTGCTGGAGGGTTTGTCATGTATGGGAGGGAGGTTCCCTTAATTAAGATAATAAAAAAAAGGTGAAAGGAAAAAAGAAAAAAGCTGTGTTGATACTTAGATGTTGATCAGCACACATTTTAATCGCTCATTACTCATTCCTTAGCAGCACACATTAATGTTCAGGTTCAGACATGTGGAACTGAAGAACCTACAGCCTAAAAAGAGGGAAAAATGGACCACTGCAACAGGATACAGGCCAGCTTCATTCATTTACTGTATTCATTCTAGAGCAAGCCTCACTTTACCAAACAGTTGATGCAATGTTTTCAAAAGCATTTAGCTGCAGAAGATGATATTCTGAGAAAACAAACTTTTGTTCCAAATCCTGGATCCGTTTCTTGATTGCAACATCAATGTTGACACCTTCCTAAAAGAGCTCCAGTAATGGGGGCAATGTGCTGCAATCTCCTTTCAAATTCTACGCCTTGAGGTGGAAAGACTCAGTCTTATCAGATGTAAAGTGAACAGGATTACGAAACTCTACGTTCATTCTGGATTGTTTCAAAACGACTGAACTTCTTTTTAAAACAAACAACTAAATCTTCCAAAGAGTGATTGGAAAAAGACTTTTAAACTCTGCCATGCAGGAAAAAAAAAGCCAAGCAAACCACTCAGGAAGAGATTTGGCACAATGCTTTATAAAGTAGGTGGTATTGTCACACATCCTGGGTGATTCACTCACAATGTTTGAGTAGATGGTTCAAACCAAATGGTGAAATGTTCCCTTAATGCGTGACTGCATACCAGCCTTTGGTTTCTGTGGTGTGGGAAGATATGATGAGCGAGGGAAGTCCCACCCCTGCACTGAGACAAATATGAGCCAGACTGCCACAGATGTTTGGACATTACAAAAAGATTTAGTCACATAGAGGCCAGAACACACCGGCCGCAATTTAGAACCCGATCGAGTCCTATGAAGTCGTTATGATTACATCTCATTGAAAATGAATGGGGCTGGTCAGACAGCATGCAACTGTCAGCAACTGTGCTGCACAGCTCCCGCTGAGGTAGACCACCGGTCTATTTGGGTCGCACCTTTGCAGCAGTTTAATGGGTCAGACAGGAAGCGAGACACGGCAGCGAAGTCAAACCTTGGTGTGCATGGAGCAAGCTGGGCAGACTTTAATGCACAACAAAACATTTTAATGAACAGGATTTCCAAGGCAGGAGCTCTGGATGACAAACGTGTAAAATAGAGATCTTTAAGCTACAGAAAAAACAAATGTGAGACAGCTAGGATGTTATTAAGGGAGAATGAAGGACACTCTTTTTCCCATGCTTTAAGGACATTTGATGTTCTGCAAAATTCCCCCTTATTCTGGTGTTTTATGGGAACCTATCCCTTTCTTTATAGCATCTCAGCAGCTTGGAAAAGAAGGGCTGCAGGCAGTTTAAAGTACAGCGAATGCAGCGATACAAAAGTGGATCCCCCATGGGTAGAAAAGTTTAAAGCATCCTCTTTTAAATGTAATTTTGCAGCTGCATCTAAAACCGAAAATTTAGAGAAGGATGTAACCTTATATTTACATATTTCTTTTCCATTATCCATATATACCCAGCCTAGAAAATCAGTCAAACAAAAGCATTCTGGCTCCACCAGTCCTTTGTTCATAAATATCGGGATCATTTATTTTTTTTTTGTAAATCAATTCTAAGAAACAAATAAATAGTGCATTCCTGTTTCTTTGGGAGAATATTTTTGTTGGACACAGATGCTAAACTCTACTGGGACTTCAAGGCCATAATTACAACCTTTCAAAAAAATAATACATCCACAGAATGTGGAATCATTTATGTAATTTTATTTCTTTTAAAAGAGGTAAATAATTGTTGTAGACATTCTGATGGCTCCAAAACATATATTTACTTCAGATAACTATCCAAACGTTGACACAAAACAATTCTGCAACAATAAGAACAATAGGCTGAAGTTACGGCTGGACAAAAAAACATAAAAATCTGATAGAAACCTGATCTCAATAAAAAATATTTCTGATAAAAAGTTCAACCATTTCACTGAAATCCAGTTCAGAATTAACCACATTCTGCAGGATTCCAGCAGAAATAAAGCATCCGTCTCTGCAGAGGCCTTTAAACTTGTCTGAGCCATCCTTTAGATTTAAAAATTATTAGTGTTACAATTTAATTTGGTAAATTTTTCCCTGATTCATATATCAAATAGATAAAAAAAAATATTAATTATTATAGATGTGAACTGATAGAAAAGGCGAATATAATGATACCAGGCCTGGTTAAAGCCACATAAGAGGAAGTGTTGCCAGATCCTAGTAGTTCCATGATAAAGCTGAAAAATCTTATGAGTTGCATTTCTCAGATTCATGGAGAAAAAAAAAAGAAAAAAAAAGAAGAAACAAGCAAAATGAGGATAAACATCAGAGCTTATGAGTGTTTGTGCCGACTTAATAAAGCAAAGGAGCTCATAAGCTGCAGATGCTGACACTTTTTCTGAACAGATAAGTTAAATGATTCCTAATGCTTGCCAGCCAAAGGTTAGCATTAGCTGACCAGGCAACCAGCTGGTAAACAGTACAGAACCAGAGCAGGCGGACTTTAGTGCATCAATAACTGGCTGGGAGGAGTTAAACTTTTAGCTATCACCTTTTAACAGGAACTGTCAGGATCAGACAGTGAGAAAGGTGAGGTTAGACTGAATGACAAGGAAGAACTTCAAGAGAGGCTGTTTATTTTAAATGCAAGTTTGGTGGATAAACTATGATGTGGAACATACTTCATGAACTCTTAAATACATGAATGTTAGGAATAACTCTGACAGCCTCCACCAGGAAACTGGAAGTTATCATCCAGACTTGAGGCCAAATAAAGACAAGAATTGTTTATGAGGGACAGAATCAACCAGTAAACACTGCAAGGTTGTTCCTTCTGACATTCAAGGGAAATCATCATGGAAAAATGAACCAAATTAAATTGTAGCACTAATAATTTTTAATTTTTAAAAGACTTATTTAAAAAAAAAATTAAAGTCAAGAGTGTGTTTCTCAAATCAGATTGATCAACATTAAAATATACTAACTGATTAACTTTAAAGATGGATGGAGGCTGATGGTTATCTGTCTGAAACATGTGCGTATGACTGAAGGAGGGGACCAAAAAGCTGCTCAGATTAGGACATCTACTCTACAGTTTAAGATCTCTAAAACCCAGAATTTTTTTTTTCTTTTCGTTCAGGCGCTGACCTGGATTTCTGCTGTAAAAGAAAAAAAAAAAAGAAAGTTCTTGATCCAGGTGTGTCAGTTCTGTTGAAAATGATAATTTCCAGTGAAATCCACTTTGATGCTAATTTTCCATTTAAGACATTTCTCTGTTCTGACTCATCCAACCACACCATTAAACATACAGAGACCTCAGCACTACACCTACTTCTGGATTAGAGAAAGGAAGCTCCAACAGCTATAAATAAAATAAAGTTCTTCTATCACAATACATTCATCAGAAAAAACAAAAACAAAAAAACAATATACTAGACATGAATATGTGGGTCTGTAAAAAAAAAAAAAAAAAAAAAAATTCAGCCCACTTACGTCGCAGAGAGCAGCGAAGGTGTCGTTAATGTTCCTCACAGGATGGTAGGTGAAAGTGCTGAAGGGAAAGTCATTGGCGAAGGGGTTCCACCTGGAGGTAAAGGAGGGTTCCCTCAGCCGGTCCCAGAAGACACGCACCCCCTCCCCATCTCTCCTAAAATAAATAAACATAGGCAATGTAAAAAAATAAAGATGAGAAATATGTGTGTTTTTTTTTACCGTTAGTGACACATGGATGACGTGACAGCCTCTCTGCTTCTTTTCACAGCTGGCTTACAGAACTGAATGCATGTTCTTTTTTTTTTTTTTCCCTTAGAAGTCATGTGCAAACTGTCAATCTTGCTCTGGCTTGAGAGACACACAGATGCTCCAAAACAATTGTTTTTCTTTTTCCCTTTCCTTGTTTTGTTCCTGTGCAGCTCAGTGATGCAGTGGGTAGCACTGCTGCCTAGCAGCAAGAAGGTTGTGGGTTCGATTCCCGGCCCGGGGTCTACCTGCATGGAGTTTGCATGATCTCCCTGAACATGTGTGGGTTCTCTCCGGGTACTCCAGCTTCCTCCCACAGTCCAAAAACTTGGAGGGGATATACTAAAATAAACATGTTACCTAAAGTGTATGTAATATTTGAGAAGATGTATAATGTCACCCTAAATGTTTATTTTTCATTATGGCTGCATGTAGAGTAAGTTATTATTTGTAATTGAAATTACAGAGAATTCCTCCAGATGCTGTTTTCATTGCCCTTAAAGCCCTGGCATACTCCGCCTAAGAGAAACTGCACTACACCTTCAGTCCAGCAGGTGGCAGTAATAACATCCCACAACAGGTTTTCTCTTTACTTCCAGCTATGAGTCAGTTCCTAAGCATAACAAGTTTAAATGGTTATTTGACATTTAAATGTTTTTATAAACCTGCATCTGGTCAGTGTTGCTTTATTGCTGCATGATACATTTAAAATAAGTAAGAAAACAGTTTAATAGTTATTTTGCTTTTACTCTAATAATAACCAGATATATCTAATATCTAAAGCATAAAATAAAAAATAAAAAAACTTCATTATTATAAACATGTATTTATACCAAGTAGCAGCTGCAGGAAGCGGAGTTGACGATAAAGACATCCTACTCGTGATCTCTGCTCCTGCAGCTCTATCAGCATAAAATTATTAAATATATATACATATATATTTTTATAAGCCCATTGTCCGTTTATAGACTGCATCCCCATTTACGCATTTTACACTGTAGTTCAAAAAAAGATTTTGCATCCTTCTCTAACAAATCTGTTTGACAGCTGAACAAACAGAAGTTAACTGCGGCGAAGAATACCAGCAAACAATAAACAATCTGCTTTAAATCAGAAAACTACTACCATCAAATTGTAATTAAACTGTAAACTGTTTATTTTAGTGTGTAACAGAATTCAACATTACTACCATTATTTATCTTTAATTACCTCTATTGGTAATTATTCAGTTGCAGGTATACCCTATGGGAACAACTGCAGCTGATTCTATTATACCCCACCCCTCACATCAAATAAATGTGTTCTCTAAGTTTGTCACACCACAGAAATATGTTTTATTAATCACCCATGTAAATGAAAAAAAAAAAAAAAAAAAAGCAGTAAAATTAGATCTCTGTCCTGAGATAATGGGGGCGCGTCTGCTACAGCCGCTGAAACCACGGCTACATGCTAATTCTGTTTCACTGACACAGTTTTAAAAGACAAAAAAAGCTGTATACTATATTGACATTCTGGTTTTTATTTCAGGGGATCAGTGGAAGGTTTGCTTATATGTGACTCATGTTTAATGGGGAAAAGGGAGGAGAGTTGCTCTGCTCTCTGACTGCAGACATGGGCTGCAGCTGCTGCATCAGAGTCCCTGTGTTTTGGAGGAGGGAGGGGCTCACTCTCTGTTTGCTGAGGACTGTAAACACATAAATTGGTCATGAGGGACAGAATCAACCAGTAAACAATGCAAGGTTGTTCCTTTTGACACTCAAACTGTACCTGACCAACCTTCCTCCATTGTTTCCCTTTGTCTCTCCACAATTAGCACCAAACTTTGTACGTTTATGCTCAACTAGTATGCAGTTCATGCAGGATCCATTTTTAATTTTTAAAAGGGTTATTAAAAAAAGTGAAAGTGTGTGTTTCTCAAATCAGAATGCTCAACATTAAAATATACTAACTGATGAACTTTAAAGATGGACGGAGGCTGATGGTTATCTGTCTGAAACATGACTGAAGGAGGGGACCAAAAAGCTGCTCAGATTAGGAGGTCTACTGTACAGTTTAAGATCTCTAAAACCCAGAAAACAAATGTTTCCCATCTTTTTTCCTATAGGCGCCGACCTGGCTTAACAAATTTCTGTTGATCCAGGTGTGTCAGTTCTGTTGAAAATGATCATTTCTAGTGAAATCCACTTTGATGCTAATCTTCCAATTAAGACATTTCTCTGTTCTGACTCATCCAACCACACCATTAAACATACAGAGACCTAAGCACTACACCTACTTCTGGATTAGAGAAAGGAAGCTGCAACAGCTAAAATTTAAATAATGTTCTTCTAACACAATACATTCATCAGAAAAAAAAAATCCACTAAACACGAATACTGTATGTGGGTCTGTAAAAAAATTAAAATAAATAATTCAGCCCACTACAACAATTATTGATCTTTAATTACCTCTATTGGTAATTATTCAATTACACCCCACCCCTCACTTTGGGAACAACTGTCTTAAAGACTGTGTAAAGTATAAATAAATGTGTTCTCTCAGTTTGTCACACCACATAAATATCTTTTATTAATTACCCATCCAAATAAAAAATAAATAAATAAATAAAAAAAACACAATC